TGCTGTTCGGTGTGAGCCAAGGCTCCGTTTTGAAGGCCGTACTTTGACCAATAATGGTTTACTTTTACAAATTGTGACTTGGATGGAGAGTTGTCACATTGGCACTCATATCTTCTTATATCTCTTTATAGCATATAATAGGGTTTACTGTTTTGCTCATTGTTGAAGGTCGTTATTTGGTCTGTGGTGGATAGTGTTGTCTCATTGGCATGGTCATCTATACCTTTGGTCATCTGTGGCTCATGCAGATATTCCATAACAGTCAAACAACTCATGATGGCGCCCGTAATACTTCCGAAGGGATGGCGTAGAGATCCTTGGTCCAAAAGGTTTCTTGTAAACAGCAAACGCAAGCTCTGTGATATCCTATCAACTTGCAGGCGCTGCTGGAATGTTGCTACATAGAAATTAGCTGAAATCATCTGTTTTGTCACAAGGTTTTATCCTCTCACGACACCCATTGCCAGTTTCTAGATATGAGGCAGTCATAACTGTTTCTCTGGTATCATTTATTTCGAATGGATAAATGAATTCACCCTTGTCTCCAAAATTAGACTGATTATTTTTGTGAGAGGTAGCGGAACGTAAAATCAAGGTATACATCTAACTTCTGTTCATTTTCACGAGAAGCTCCTGCCTGAAGGCTTCCTCATATGAATGAAGGAACAGGTCGATGAGAAGAGGGGCACAGTTGGTTCCCATAGGCATAGGAATGCTGAGTTTCCGTAGTGTTGATATACACGTTCTCCAAACGTAACAAATTCAAACCGGATGATCTTGATGAAGTCAGTTTCATAATTTTGTTTTTTTGAAGCAGTGTTCTTTTTTCTTTTACAAAGCAGTGGCGGATCCAGAGGGGGGCGTAGAGGGCGTACGCCCCCCCCCCCCCCCCCTTTGCTTGCACTTTTTTTCTGTTTTTTTTTTTGTAAAATGATTAATCAGACTAGACTTCGCGAACTTTGCCATTTCCCGTGTATTTAATTTTATATACGACAACTCTTTACTTATAAATATATTTTTTGAACGTATTTACTTGATATATATTATTGATTATGTCAAAGTCAAGTGATTCGCTACGGTGGAGTTGACTAGTACGTCGAAATAAACGTCACTCAGTCATTTTACAGTCAATTACAGTAACACATTGCTTAGGCTGAGGATGACAAGCATGACGCCTTCAAAGCGACAAAGTATTGAGCAAGAACGTATTGACTTCTCTTTCACAATTCCACCCAACAGAAAGTAATACTCTATTACACTCTCAGGAAAAAAAAAGTTCCACAGCAATATTATTATATTGGGGAATAGTGATCCCCAATCAGTAAGCTCCAGATATAGATATAAATCTAAGGTACGGACCATTTGATTTGAGGGGGCAGTCTGAGATATTTTAGAGAAAAAATTCTGACCCGGATTTTTGCCTTAAACAAAAATTCTGGCCGTATCTGGATTGAAAACAATAATCTTGTCCACTTTTTTGCTATTAGAAAAAAATATTTTCAACAAAATTATTTAGCATTAAATGAACATGATGAATAAAAAACGGGCGTAATTTTTTTTTTTGGGGGTGGGGGTTTCATGTGAATCCCATATCTGACCGGAATGTCTGTTTCGCCGAACTGATACACTGAATACTTTTTTTCAAGGCCCGACTGCAACCTGCCTGCTGGGTGTGGCCTTTGTCTCCATGTGTCGACCGTCATTCACAACTTCATTGTCATTTCCGACTCATTCGTAGCCTTTGGTTGATTTGGAACCCCTCACTTCCCTTGTTGGTTGAAACATTTCAACCAAACATTTGGATAAAAACTGCTTGTTTGTCTTTCTTCGTGTCGGTCGTATTGTAAATTTCATTGAATAGCCGTATATCTTGTTTACAACAAGAAATCTGTGAGGATATGCTAACTAACCATACAACAAACGAGAATTTTCCATGTCCATTTTTTACTGACAAATCCCACATCAAATATATTAATTAGTACATAGCTTTGGATCCATCCAATCATTTCATAATAGACAATTAATGGAGAGAATACGGCACCAAAAATGTCCAAACCCTACACTTTAACTATAAAATGCATTTTACACTTATTTTATGTTTTTTAGCCAAAAAAGGGTCCAAAAATTTTTCGCCTCGCTCCGCTCGGCGATCTTTAATACTACGGCCCCCCCTTTTCAAAATCCTGGATCCGCCCCTGCTTTTCAACTGATTTTTGTCTGCCTGTGACGAAAGTCGAGGAAATCGAGACATAGGGATTGCTTTTTCGGCGATGGCGTCAACAATGGAGAGTCTTTTACACTAGTATTCCCATTGTAAAGTCAAAAACAAACTGAGAGAAACATCAATATCCTTTACACTAGTATTCCCATTGTAATGTCAAAGACAAACTGAGAGAAACATCGATACCCTTTAATACACTAGTATTCCCCATTGTAAAGTCAAAGACAAACTGAGAGAAACATCGATACCCTTTACACTAGTATTCCCCATTGTAAAGTCAAAGACAAACTGAAAGAATACGTATGACTTTAATTTGTCTCATAAAAAAGAATGACCAACATAGATGCAAACATCTTGTTTTAGGAAGGATATTAAAGGGTTTAACTCATCAGATCAATATAGAGCAGAAAACATCAAACACAGATCGGAGTGTGTTGATTAAATTTTTTTTTTATTGAAAATTTCAAAATACTAGATAAACGGTTGTATATTCTGGAGGATAGTATTGAGTTTTAAAATCACCTGCTGTAATACCAAGCGCAGCTTGATACGACCGCAGAGGTCGAACCCTGAACAGTTGGGGCAAGTATGGACACAACATTCAAGCTTGATACAGCACTGAATTTGGATTGTGATTATATATATTTGACACAGCATAGGTTTCTAACACAGAATGAATGTGGTCTAAGAACTTAAACTTTTTTAATTTACCTATGCAAACCATATCATTATTATTTGCTTTTATATATTAATCAGAAATAACCAATTTAAAATGGAAAATTTTAAAGAAAAAAAAATGAAAAAAAATCCCCCCCCCCCAATTTTTTGAACCCCCTTCTGATTTATCACCCCAAACTCAATCCCAGCCTTCCCTTTGTGGTATGGTACCTTGCAGGACAATTTCTTAGAGATCCATACACTTGAAGACAAGTTATTGTCTGGAAACTAGAAAAATGCTTGTTTTTTGGCCCCATATTCCTAAACATTTAGGGCAATTACCCCCAAACTTAAACCCAGCTTTCCCTTTGTGATATGGAACCTTGTACAATTTCAGAAAGATCCATAGACTTACACCCAAGTTATTGTCATGAAACTAGAAAAATGCTTGTTTTTTGCCCCTTTTTTAGCCCCTAATTCCTAAAATTTTGAGGCGATTACCCCCAAAATCAATCCAAACATTCCCTTTGTGATATGGAACCTTGCAGTACAATTTCAGAGAGATCCATACACTTGAACACAAGTTATTGTCTGGAAACTAGAAAATTGCTTATTTTTGGCCCCTTTTTGGCTCTTATTCCTAAACGTTTAGGGCAATTACCCACAAACTCAATTCCAGCTTCCCCTTTGTGATATGGAACCTTGTAGTACAATTTCAGAAAGATCCATAGACTTGCACACAAGTTATTGTCATGAAACTAGAAAAATGCTTGTTTTTTGCCCCTTTTTTAGCCCCTTATTCCTAAAATTTTGAGGCAATTACCCCCAAAATCAATCCAAGCATTCCCTTTGTGATATGGAACCTTGTGGTACAATGTCAGAGAGATCCATACACTAACACACAAGTTATGTCTGGAAGTTACAAAAATGCTTATTTTTGGCCCCTTTTTGACCCCTAATTCCTTAACTGTTGGTACCATAACCCCCAAAATCAATCCCAACCTTCCTTTTGTGGTATTGAACCTTTAGGTAAAATTTCATAGAGATCCATTCACTTAAACTAAAGTTAGAGTGCGAAAACGTCATACCAATATACGACCACAAAAATTTGTTTGTGGTCGTATAAAAATGCCATAATATCATCCACACATAAGGTTGCAGTTATGAAGGCAGACGGAGAAAAATAAAATATCCTTACTTACCAATGTACTGAGCTAATTCTCATAGAGATTTACACAAATATGAGAAAAATGGTAATTCAAGTGCAATTACTCCAATTTCAGCCATGTTGCCTTTTTTATTTGTAGGTTGAGTCCTGCAGGTTATTTTTCACTATTTACAGTTTTTCCCTATTAATACATTATCTTGGACTATAGTTTTGACAAACAAAACAAAAATGGTAATTAAAGGTCAAGGTATAGTAAATGGGCTATGTCACAGATTTGGTAAGATTTTACATACCACTATGATTTGTTGAACTATAACCATGATAACTGAAGTTCGAGATAAATAATGTATTTATCTCTCTTATTTTCTGAAATATTACTAATTGAATTCTTTCAAAATGGGTGGAGATTTGTATAGAAAGCAAATAAATTCATTGAAAACATAAATTTCCCTTTTGATGATATAAAATAATAATAGGGTAATTGAAAATAAAAGAGATAAATGCATTATTAATTATATTTTCTCATTTTTATTATCTCTCCTTAATTATCAATACAAATATAAAAGTTGATATTAAAAAAAATGACATTGGACTAATGTGGGCACTGAACTGAATAATTCATTAATATGTTTTAGGTATGCCATCATGATTTTGTAGACTAATATGCAATATCTATTACAGATGAGCATGAATATGTTCTATTTATCATAGCTACCATCCCATTACCTAATGCCATTAATAATTTCTAGGAGTAACACCTTGGGTGCTCTTTCGGGACTTGTACTGCTTACTCTTCAGGTGCACCTGTTTTTTTGTGGGGTTCATTTGTTTAATCTTTAGTGTCTGTAGTGTGTTTTTTGGATTGTTGCTTGTTTGGTGGTCTTTTTCTCTTAACTTTTGACCATAGCTTTGTCTGTCTTTCTTCAACTTATGATTTGTGAAATAAATAAAAAAGAAGATGAAATCATTTATTAAACTCCATTCACACAACTTTTACATGCAAAAACTTTTTCTATCTTAGACTTCTTTTCCTAACCTATCCCCTAACCAGTTAAAATGTGTGAACTCAGTTTCTCCTTGTCTGTAATATCTGTCTGCTCGATATTTCCACCAACATGCCTCATGAATTTTTCCTTTAGAATAATCATCTCGGTATAATAAACCTGAAGGCATTTTCTTCATTTGTCTGTGTCTTGGTTTTAAGGTACATTCAACATACAATCTTCCTTTTCGTCGTTCAAAATAGCAGCCATCACATCTTAACTTCAAGACATTCTTTGGTTTGTATGTTCTTACTGATAAAATAGATGTGGAAGTAGGGAGCAACAACTTAGAAAGTCCATGATTAGGGAACTGTGACCTAGATTCCTGTATTGAAGTCAGTGTTTGTGGTCTGTAAGCACTTATACACGAAAACAATCGTGAAGAGATTGAATCTGTTATAGTTTTAGTTATCTGTACTGCTGGACTACCATGATGAACAGTAAGACGACGGCAAAGTATCCTTGCTAAACTCATTTGTCTCCTTTATTTATGTAATCTGCATATAAATAAATAAAAAAATAATAAATATTATTAGGCGAGACAAAAAAACAGTCAAGAGTTAAATTGTACATATATATAAAAATATAGAGATGTGGTATTGATTGCCAATGAGACAACTATCCAACAGCGTTCAAATGACTAAGATATAAGCAATTCATATTTGAAAATTATCAAATTTCAAAGTTACTTTTCGCATTGAATCAATATCTTATTGCATTTATAATTTCCTAAGGCCCATCCTGTTCTGAAAACCATTAAGTGATGTTCATGTGAATTTAAACTCATTAGAGTAAATGTATATTATATATATATATATATATATAAAGTGCCTAGAAAATCAACCTAACAATGTTAAGAGTAGATATCATTCTTTACTTCCTCCCCAATGGGGGCTGGAACCTGTACTTTTCACTTCTCACCCTTCATGCCCTTACAAACTCTTATAAAAATAAAATTTTGTTTTATTGATATTAATGTCATAGAAATAGTAACAAATAAATTAGCAAATGGTTCATTTTTCGTGGATGCCTGCGTTCAAACGTGTCAAGGATCACATCAAGTTATAAATTAATGTACATTAGAATTTTTAGACAATTGATGAAAGGGGGTATAGGATTAAGAATGATAAGACTCAAAATGAATAAAAAATATTCTAATTTTGGCATCACAGCAGAAAACCATTAATGTTTGAGGAACTTGAATGTCACATGCACTGGGTGAGTGGGTGACCACCTGGATCCGCCTCTGCAAATGTATTTTCTAATGTTCATCAGTGTTATTTCTATTTTAAAAAATATTTTTTCTACATTGAAACACTTTAAACAAACAAAAAAATGCAAACATCGCAAAAATAAATGAAAACTTTGGAATATCTGCTACATATTAGTTAAAGATTCAAAATCATTTTACTGAAGTTTTAAGTTTGCAAAAAATCAGTATTTAAATAGTTATTTATGTACAGAAGTTGTCTTCTTTCACAGGTAAAACCTGCCTCATATTGATTTATAAATTTATAAAAGGACTATTTTAGGTGTCACAAATCATCTTATCAAGTGCAGTAGATTCATGAATAGCGATAATTCATGTATTTTGTATGTGCTCATCAACTCATTGCTGTGTGCACAATGAATAGGAAAATGCTTTAGGGGCTGATTAATAATAACGAGGTGATATAAACACTGAAATCATCACCATAAGTTGAAAAGTGGCCAGAAGAAGGAAACAGATAACTTAAATAAATATAGCTGCGGAACCATAACTCATAGGTCCTTGTGATATTTTTTGACATTTCGCAGATCATAGAAAGATCCGCAAATTGTCAAAAAATATCACAAGGACCTATGAGCTATGGTTCAGCAGCTAAATTAAATATTAAAAAGTCTATCCAAATAATTTATTTTTGCAAAGATGCTACTGCTAGGGGCCGTCTTAAAACTTACAGTGAGGTGATTTTTATTGCGCCGTGTTGAAGGTCTCACTGTGACTTTTAGATGAAGAACAGCAATAAAAGCGCTGTTCCTCTGCTTTTAGTGTTTTTAAGTTTTTATTCTTTTGCTGTGCATGTAGTGATGTACTGATTTTGTGTCTTGGATCTTTTTTTTTTTTGTTTAGGGGACGACCATTTGATATTCTGGGGAGGGGCAGGAGGATTTTGAAAATAAATAACTCAGCCTTGATAATCACAAAAATAAATGGTTTGTTCTGTGGTAGTTTGAAAATAAATAACCTGACTTGCAATGTATTAAAAATAAATTACTCGGCAGGTCTATTTGAGAGCATGAGATTGCACCAGATTCTTCATAAAATTCAACTTTTTTTTTCAAAAAAAATCGGGAATCACTTCCCAAATCTTTGAATAATAAAAGTATAAATATTATTTAAAATACTTGAAATGTCTGAAAAATGGGTTTCATTTAACTTGAGGTATATTGTCTCAGGAACACTTGACTCACTTTTATTACATATGGCAGTAACTACATTCAGGCAAATGCCTCATGTAGGAAATTTCAAAACCAAAAGCTTGTCTTCATATCAAATTGTTTTCACATCAAGTGTCTCGCAAGAAGCAAGTTCTGTTCTCCCTCAGACGTAGATCCTGTTTTTTGGGGATCAATGTTTCTTATTTATTTGTCTTTTGTTCATTGATTGCCCTTCTGTATTCTGTTAGTGTTGCATTCCTTTTGTAATTTAGTAATTTTGTTATTAACTTGATCAAGAGTTTAAAAAAAAAACAGCAGCCACATACTTAACTATGTGAATTAAATTTTTGCTTTATCTTTGTTTTTTGATGTTGTTCCTAAAAACTTAAGTCTTACACTGAATCTATACATGTTGCTTTGAGACCAAAATATTGTCAAAAAATGATTAAAACAGAACTTTCATTTTCAGATTAAGAAAGGGTATGGGAAACACATTTTGCATCATTAGTTCTATAGCAACTTGGGGGCTTCAGCGGCTCCAAAACCCTTCAAATTTTTTTAGCCTCGCTCCGCTCGGCATAAATGATTTGCAATACTTTTAAAAGACACTAATTACAGCCAAACTTTGATATCTTGTATGTATGCAATACATGTATATGCAGTTGGGAATTCAGAAGATTCATTTCTACAGATGATGATGATTAATTCTGATTAAATGGTACATAATGATTGGACTATTCATGTATTATTTATAATAAAAAATAAATTTAAAAATTGTATGTTTTCAAATATTTTAAATATAGTTGTGAAAATAAATAATCAGTCCCTTGCTTTAATGAAAATGAAAAATCTTGCTTCAACAGTGCAGAAAATAGATAATCTGTCCTCTTAGTTTACAAAAATAAATAACCGATCAAAAACAAATCCTCCTGGCCCCCCCCCCAGAATATCAAATGGTCGTCCCTTACAGAAAAAAATGAATAAAGTGACAAACTGCAGATAACAGAGTATAGAAAAAAGCCCTTGATCAGTGATATCCAGGATTGAAGGTATCACCAGGAATGTAGTTTTTTTACCAAAGTGTTTTCCAATTTTTTTCAATCAGTCACATTTATTAGTCGATGTATCTTTATTTCTTTTATCGCATGGACTCTTTGAACCAATTACAAACGCAAAGATAATGTTGTTATGATGATGAAGTTTAGTCGGATGTCGGAAAGGAAGTGAATGAGAATCCGAAATTTACCCAAAAGCAGTTTGAAACTTCGGTGGGTTTTCTATTAATCTGTAAATTACATTAAAAATATTTTCGTTAGTTGGTGTCAACTTCAAATTGTTCAAAAAGATCTCAAATTATTATAATGTCAAAATAGATCTATTGTTTGTCAGATTTTAATGAAAATCATCCAGTCAGTAAGGATCATCAGGGGGTAAACATGTGGAGATGTGGGATCCGGCGATATGGGCGCATTACATTTATGCGCATTCGGGGATTAATTTTGTTAAGGCAGTGGCTATATTGCCGGCTCCGGCAAAATAGCGATTTATATAGAGTTTTGCTATTTTGCTGGTCTTAATTCAGATTTTCAGTAAATGATTAAGAATAAATAGAAAAAAACATAGAAACATACAGTTTATTACAAAATCTCTAAAAAATGTGTCTTCTTTAAAACATTTACACATAAGCAAAGCATGCATATTAAAACTGATATTCTTTACTTTTATAAGAAGGCTCTAAAAAAAATATGTATTTCTCAAAAATATAATACAAATCAAGCAAAGCATGAATATTAAAATCGACATTAGAACTAAATTTAAATTTCAATAAAAATATCCAATAAGTTTTGAAATGAAAAGTAACATTCAACAACCTCAAAATGCTTTACAAGTGTTACAAAACCAGTGCCTTGCTTTTGGTGCATTTTTAAGTCTTGCACAAGGAAGATGTTGTCACTGCAGACACGAACTGCATATAACACTTTGTTTTTATTTTTTGCGTCTGCATCACTTTTGCAAAAAATGCAGATATATACATTAAATTCAACTGCTGTCAATAGATTGCCATGCATCGTCTATACAATATTTCTTTATTAATTTTATATTCACTAGTTTGTCTAGACAAGAACAGGAAACCATTTCAGGGCGGGTTTCTACGTGTTCCTCCTTTATCACCAGACCGTCGTCTACCGCTGACTTTAGTTTCAATAAAAAAAAAAATTTCATATATAAATCTAATCTATCTAATCCGTAACTTATCTTTAAACCCCCTTTGTAGAGTAACCATATTTTCATATGTAGAACAGGTGCTCTCTTTATATACATTGCTGCTTCTCCTTCCATCATTGGGCATCTAACCATATTTCATGCTCAGCTCGGGTGCAATCTATATACAGTGCTGTTACTCCCTCCACCATTCGATATCTGATGTGCGCATATTTACATTGAAGTCCTACCCCCACACAATTTGCGTAAAATCCTTTATTTTACAGTTTAGTTCACTTAATTCCAGAAATTTGTGTGGTTCCCCCAACCACGCCCTTATAGATGTTGAGATAACGGAATCGCTTATTTTATTGTCATTTCGCACTAGATTTATTACTGTCCACATACCATCTTGTAACGGGCTATATGAAGTTGATATAGCAGGCGTCGAGTAAGGCTTTCTATTTGTACTACACTGACTGGAGCCGGCAAAATAGCGCCAGGGAGGCTATTTTGCCGGAGCCGGTAAAATAGCACCTAAGAGGCTATTTTGACGGAGCCGGCAAAATAGCCACTGCCTTTTTTTTACGTTTGAACCACAGGCACTTGTCTTTGAATTTTTTCCCCCTATATACCTTAATATAAATAGGAAAACAAATTTCAGAGACAATTAACGTCCCTGTCTAGATGCCTGTGATGTGAAAACAGCCTTTTATTACATTTGCACGCATTCATTTCAAATGTAAAATAGATAGATATAAAAATAATTCATAATAAATATATTTCTATAGTTATTCATTTTGAACTTAGTTTTTATTTTTAAAAAAAATATAGAAATCCCGTTATCGCTGAAGGTATATATACCTTAACTGCGAATAATGAAGAGTGCATGAATAGTATTTTCATAACTTTTACTGAATAGTGACCGTTTTAGTTAATAAGTTGCCTCAACACACAAACATGGAGTTTTGGTTGTCAGAAACAACTAGAGTGAACAAATCTTAAATGTACGATGCATAACGAAAATATCAGAATGGAGAAGTTACCCGAATTCATTTTCTTAAAGCACACGCTGCTTTAAATTGGCTTCACATTTTCAGCACTGAAAAAAATAGATATATAAATAATCAAAAGTTGCGCGCAAACGTAATGATAATGCGCGAAAATGTTAAGCACCGTGGGATATAGGGATTAAAAATGGGGGATCTAAGAAAAATTGAAAAAAAAGTGGAAATTGGGTAAAAAAATACAAAAAAGCTGAAATTGGGAAAAGACAACCCACCTTAAAGATGAAACTTAAGTACAGCCGAGACAATTCTATACATGTATATAAAACATGTGCCGTTATAGCAGTCCCAGAGTACAGTCATTTGTAAAAGGTAGGGGGGAAATAGACGGTGGAAAACCTGTAATGTTATTAGTTTTGGAATCCTTATGTGATGTCATGAAACACAAATAAAAAATCTAGCATTGTTTTGGGAATTTCTATATGTATGGTAACCTAGGACTTATATATTAGTGTAATAGCCGGGCTCCAGATGGTCTATATAAACAGAGCCATATATATTTCTGTTATATATCACTTTCATTTTTCTAAGCACATTTTCCCCTCCCTGTGAACTTACTTATAATTACTTAACAAACGAAATCAATGGTAATGGTCTCCGTCCGTTCGCCCGAGAGAAAAAACATCAATATTCAGAGACTGACAAAAAAGCTTGCATACTTTGTAGAATTTGTTGTCGTCATATATTCTCTCAACCTTCCTTTACCGTCAGTTCAACTAGACCATGTTTTAGTATTGTACCAATGACACCGTGTAAACGCAAACCCTCTTGAAACCGTTCCACAGTCATGTGATATTTGATAGGATTGTTTCCCATCATGTGTAGCTGACCATATTGTACCACTATTTTGATTCGGATCGCTTTATGGAAGTAATGGGACTATGACAATAGATATAAGATGTGGTATGAGTGTCAATGTCATTATGAGACAACTCTCCATCCAAGTCAAAATTTATAAAAGTAAATCATTATAGGTCAAAGTACGGTCTTCAACACAGAGCCTTGGCTCACACCGAACAGCAAGCTATAAAGGGCCCCAAAAATTACTAGTGTAAAACCATTCAAACGGGAAAACCAACGGTCTAATCTATATAAAATACCAGAAACGAGAAACACTTATGAACCAGGCTCTAGTTTCATCTTAAATCCATATTTTGCCAGCAGAGAATTTGATCTCCAAGTTTGACAGAAATTTTCATCGGAATCCCATGCAAGGTTCTCCAGTTACTAGTACATGTAGTATTCAGCAACCCCTTTCCAATGAAAGTTTCAGTTTACATTTAGAATCTTATTCCAAAAACTGTAAGATTATTTCTCTTATTGGGCTCTGGACAGTCCAAATAAGGCTCTTCAGTATTCATTATGAAACAGCTTTAATTCCTGCACTAGTATGGCTCTTTAAAATTTGCGACCATAACCATTAATGCTTGTCCCAAAACTCACCAAACATTTTCTCCAATTATATATGACCATGTAATTATGTTCCAATCCTATACAAGACAACATAGTTATGTGGAGAATCAGTTTTATACAGATTTTGGTTCATTTCTAGTACCTGTGAACTTGACCTTAAAGGGGTTGACCTTATTAACTATGGCTCTAAATAGCCTGTCTCACTCACCTAGGTCTATGTGCATCTCCAACATTGCAGACTAGAAGATAATGCATGACTTAATCTCTTTTTGTTGATATTTTTGTTTATAGTTCTCTCTCATCTTCTACAGTTTTTGCCAAATACACAGAAAAAAAAAGTAATAAACTGTTATCACAGTGATAAGTCTCGCCTTTTTGTAATTTTGATAATGCAAATGTTGAAATTAAAATAGCAATACTTTAACATGTAAGTTTCATGCAAATATTCAAAGTCGATGAACCATGACTGAAGGAACATGGCTGAACAATCTCCATGGAAATGAGATGTGCCAATGTTAATACAACTACATACCAAATACCATTGACTAATCATAAGTCGTTCCCTTTAAACAAACCTAAACACAAACATTAACTTGTAAACTATGTAAAAGTTTCAAAGTCAATGAACCATGATAAGGGGGTGGGGCTATATAATCTCCATGGAAATAAGACGTGCAAATGCCAATAAATTTGCATACCAAATATCATTGACATAACATTAGCAGTTCATCTTAAACTGATTTAATCACAAACTAATACATATAAACTAAGCAAATGTTTCAAAGTCAATAGACCATGACTGAGGGGGCGGGGCCAAATATTCTCCATGGAAATGAGATGTGCTAATGCTTATACAACTGCATACCAATTATAATTGGCCTACCACTAATGGTTCCCCTTGAACTGACCTAATCACAAACTAATACATGTAAACTAAGCAAAATTTTCAAAGTCAATAGACCATGACTAAGGGGGCAGAGCCAAATAATCTCCATGGAAATGAGATATGCCAATGCTTATACAACTGCATACCAAATATCACTGACCTACCACTAGTGGTTCCCCATAAACTGACCTAATCACAAACAAATACATGTCAACTAAGCAAAAGTTTCAAAGTCAATAGACCAAGACTGAGGGAGCAGGGCTAAATAATCTCCATGGAAATGAGATGTTCCAATGCTTATACAACTGCATACAAAATATCATTGACCTACCACTTGTGGTTCACCATAAACTAGACCTAATCACAAACTAATACATTGTTGACAGTGCCGCCGTTGCCAACGCCGGAAACAGCATACCTAGGTCTTGCTTTTTGACTAAGTCAAGGCGAGACAAAAATCGCCATCTAAGGATAATTTAACTAGCATCAGAAGACAATTGACAATTTCTTATATGCTGACCTATATGCAGGTCTGGTCTTGCTGATCATTTTTGCTTTAAAAGTTTATCTATCCATTATAGTTTTAAAGGTAAAATCTGTCATTTATATGGGTATTAG